GTCCTGTATCATCGTATTTTCCACTTATTACGAATCGACTCTGCAATCGCTTTTTGAATCTTGTTATGCCCACAGACAGGGCATAAATGATCATTTAGGATGCTAAATACTTTTTTCTTTAAATGATCAATGACAAGGACGGTCAAGGCTAACCTTACAGTCCTTTTTCATTTTGTTAAAATATGTACTATTTTTGCTCAGAAAGTTAATTGAACTTCAACTTGGCCACGTTTACACATTTCTATTTTTATCCCGAGCGACACCCGGCGCGCTCGGTCAACTCTCGCAACCGTCACTTGCCGTGTCTAAACAGTAATTAGAACAGTGTATAAGTAGCGTATAGGATTCAATATTTTTATTAATTAGAATTACCCTATATGATGTTTAATTTTTTTCTAGTAATTTTTGTTATTATTTTTTGTTTTAACCTTGTGTCCGTTCAGTTGTAGTGGGTACTATAGACATTCTGTGGTTCGGTGAATGACTGCTAAATTGCGATTTGCCATTCCTACATATAATTTATAGCCTAGCTTTCAAGTAAGCAAGTAATTTAGTAGGTTCACGCTTTTTTAATTTTTTTACCTACGTCGTCTATCTTTATCTAGTCTGGACTAGAACCAAAGATATTATATTAGGTATATGTTATTAAAGAACTGACCTGTATATGAAGTATCAACAAAAATTAGTAGGTAAAAAAGGGGTGATTTTCAATCGACTTCAAAAAGTAGGTTTTCAATTTGGTTGTATTTTTTTTTTGTTTGTTACCTCATAACTCTTACTGTTAAAAACGATTTAAAAATTATTATCTAAAATAATATATTTACATATTGGTCTTATAGAATTAATGAAAATAACTGTTTTTTTTTTTTTCAATTGATGTAAATTTTATTATGGGACACAATTTTAAATTATGCTTATGTTGTTTCTTTTATTTGTTGTTTAATTTATGCGAAAAAAGACCACTACGATTTAGTTTTATTAATATAAATTATATGTAATTGGAGTGTGCAGAAAATTTTCGCATGTAATCAAAAGCGCCATTAGGTCATCGACCTTAACTTTGTTTCAAGTAAAAAAAGAAATTGAGTGTTTCAGAACAGAACAGTTTTTCCTTTTAATTAAGGGATCCAATTTCAAAAGAATCTCATTTTTTTCATCTTTAATCCTGTCGTTCGTCATTTTTTAACTTGCGTATTATTTCTATATAAAAGTTAAAGTTAAAAAATGTATATTTATATAGAAATAATTAGCTTTGTAAAATGTTAAACTTCTCGATCTTTTGTATTAAAATGACTAGATGTGAGGATTAAAGCACTATCATAGTTTTTTGTCATAAGGCTCTATTACGATTCGATTTAATCAATTATCAAAGTTTTGGACATCAGTTTTAGATTTTTGCATATTTTTTTTTTCAATTTAGATTAATAATTTTTGTAGGCAATTCATTCTCAGTGGTTTGATGAATGGATCATTGGAGGCCTATGTTCAGCAGTAGACAGTTAACGGCTGATATGATGATGATGATTTATTGGTCGTCTTTTATTTCTTTATGAACCGTCGTCTTTTATTTATTCCTGATTCTGATAATAAAGACCACGACGCTATCTCAATCGTTCAAATCGTTTATTATTCTGTTTGGTGGTAATTCTGAACTCTTTCAATTATACTATTTTCGGATCGTTTTCGTATCAAATATTTAGTGATAATAGTTAACATCGCTATGTGTTACATCGTTATACATATGTGTATTAAATATATTTTAACGGTACTTGAGAAATGATATTAGTTACATGCATACATTTATAATGTAACTAATACAACTCTCGAATAGTCATCATATATGTTATGAGAAAACCGGTCCCTACTGCAATCACGTGTATCACAGATGCGTGTGCCAGTCGTCGCCCTAAACGGCCTAAGCTATTTAAATCATGCAGGATACGGATATAGTGGCAATTTTTTTGAAGATTCGTGATGACACATAAAACAAAAATGATATTATCTTTGTCATTAGCTACTTCATACATACTGCATGGATGTAGAATATAATCCATAAAATAATTTTTGTGTAACTTACAATTAATTTATTATTAGATAATTTCAAGTTTTGCACAATAATTGAGTCTATTGATTTATTCAATTAAATTTATATTGTAAATATTTCGCCAACAGATATCAAAAGATGAGGTTGGAAAGATAGTGGCCGGATTTGAGAATGAATCACTCCTAACGAGTGGCGGCGTGACGATAGCTGGCACGCGGTACATCTACCTCAGTGGCACAGAACGCATCATACGCGCAAAACTCGGCAAGGTCGGCGTACACTGCATGAAGACACAACAAGGTGAGCACGAACTGTTTAACTAGTCTAGTTAAACTATTTTCATAATTTATAGGGATCCATATCGAATGTGGCAGTTATGAAGCTCCTATTCATTTGTCTAATATGTTAAATATTAGGTTTGTATAGATTATTATGTCGTTATTTCATGTTTCTATTTGTTCATGTTTAAAGAATTCTAAACGAAAGATGAATATATAAATTTTCGTAAAAAAAGTATTCTGGACTGTATGTTTGATCATTTGTATCTCTTTTAAAGAGCTTTTAAAGTGTCAAAAAGACTATTACTATTCTCATGAACACGCTTATTTTATTCTATAAGTGCCTTTAATAATAAGCTATTGAAACATTAGAAGAAAGTTCTATATGTTAAATGAATATTCAAAAGACCGATATTCGTATAATAACATTACATATCTTTACTGTAAGTATCGCTAATAGTATAGTCGTACAATATTGATAATTTATTTTGATTGAATAATTTGGATGACGTTAATGCGTAGAAGTACTCATACATAGTATGGCAAGCACATCTCTTAACCAACAAACGACAACATTAACGACTTTTTAAAAAGAGATAAATTGATGAATCCGCTTTATTAATGAATTAGACGTTAAGATTCCTGACAGAATGTGACTAAATGTGAATTTTGTTTCAGCCGTCGTAATTTCGCTTTATGAAGAGCCCATCCAACCCCAGCAAGCCGCATCTGTAGTTGAGAAGTTAGGAGACTATTTAATTACCTGTGGTTATTAGAGGTGAGTTCCGATCTTTTCTTTTGTACTATTAATTGTATGATAGATAAATTGTTAACAGGCATACATTAATATTAGTAGCAAAGAAATTAAACGATGATGTTTTATGAAAACTAACACATTAAATATATCCTATAACCATCGATATTACTACATGTCTGGTTAAAAACGGTAATGATCGCTTCATTTACACAATAAGTTTATTTTAAATAAAATGGAATGAAATTTTCGTAAAAACAACTACAGTTTAATTTACAGTACTAGTATTAAAATTTAAAATTAGTACAAAATGAGTTGGATATATTCTACACAAACAAAACTACGCTTTATCATTTTGTTATTGGTTAGTTACAATAAATAATTTTCAATAGTATAATCAAACATTTAATATACATGTTTAGTTTTGGTTCGCGAGGCCTTATCTATTTGATGTCAATAGATTATAGCGTAAATAAATAATACGCTCAATCCGTAAATAACCTGAAAAAAATTAAACAGATTTTTATTCTAAGGGGAGTTATGATCAAATACCGGATCCATTACAAAATGCATCCGTAGTATATTTACCACATTTCTTCAGCAAATTTTTATCCATAAACTTGGCAGGATATCAATAAATTATTAATCGCCAGTAAGATTTAAAAAATTTAAATTTACTATATCTTGGTAGATATTTGGAATCAAATTTATAATCACTGAGATCTTTTAGGACTGGGATAACAAACCTATATAGTTCACATTAGTAGAATTCGTCTTTAAAAAATGTTTCTTTTGTTCGCAGATCCAAGCGCGCCGTGATCTAAGAATACTATAAGATAATATTTTTTCCACAGGGAAATAAGTAACTGCATTTTGTATATTCTATAAAGTGATAAGGAACGTTCATTTGTTTTGATAATTGATAAATTATGGCGACATCAGTGTCTGATGCGTTTAGTAACTGTGTGCAGATACAATTACTTTGCGGATTCTGGACTCTTTTTATACGCTCACCGCTTCCACAGAGTAATTGATACTGTAAATGGATTAAAATTGAATTTTAAAAATTTGCTTTTATCGACCAGTAAAGCATAATCCAGCTTTGCAAGCGGGTCCCAAAGCATGATGTATAGAGATTTTTTTTAACTTTCTTTTCAAGCATCCTGATACTGATTACTTCAAATTCATCTTGCATAATGAAAAACTATACAACGTTGTTTTGAAAAATATTTTATAAATCGTCAGTAATATCTATGTAGACGAGTTTGCCCGCGTACAGATGCCTGACAAGAAATTATAATAACCGTGTAATGAAATTACTGTAACAATATTATACAACTTTATATATATATTATATAAATATATATAATTACAAATAAGCATTTGTGTAAGGGCTTGTTATGAATGAAAGACACTGTAACCCAAGTATTACAATTTTAATTTAAAATCTCTAGTCCCACTGGAACCATCGTGTGAGTAATATTTAATGAATACAACAGTGTGAAGCAAGCGGGACGATGTGAGCTCCTGTGACCCCAGTCTGTTCGCCATACTAGCGCGGGCGCGTGGTCCTTGGCCACCAGGGCCACTCGTCCCTCATTGCAAACTTCTGCTAATATGCTTTTTTTTATTGCGTCGCATTTATAATGTTTTGTAGTGAAACAATAAACATTTGCATTCTGTTTTATATCTATTAGCTGCAGAAACTAGAAGCGCTCAATTACCCTGTATCCTCAAACAAGGCTTGCAGTAAACGAAGGGTGCATATTGTTTATATTTTGATATTACTACTATAGCTTTGTACATTGTTTCTGATAAGCGATGGGAACTGTGTCTATCTAATAATAAAATGATTTGTATTATAAATAAAGTTTTCTTTCTTTACCCTGTTATAAATAATAGGAAAGGCAAAATTGAAACAAACTTTTATTGCTAATGAACATAATTTATTTTTCTTTTGAAAAAATCTATAATAAGAGTTAAGTACACTCGAATACAAGGATTGGTATAAAATGTTAAAACTTGTAGCAATAGCCTATCAAGTGATCTTGGTTCTTTAAAATTACAACATACGAGGATCGTATTTCATGGTATCTAATTTCCTACACCATAAATAAACAAAATATTCTGATGGATTTAGTTATGAATACAAATGCACATGTGAATCTCTTACTATAGTGTGATTGCATAAACCCACCAGAAATTGGCCGAGAAGGTAAGTTTAAAAAAAATTAACTGTACTTACTACATGGTTATCTACATTTCTACACTTCTATAATATTTATACGAAAGTAAATATTTAGTTGTGATTGCAATACATAAGTACCTTATAAATAGTTATAAATAAATTATGCATCAATATAGTAACCATTGATAAGACAAAGTAATATACCACTATACAAATTTTAACTTAAAATAACACGTGACTTTACGCCAACATTACTTTTAAAACTAGGGTACGTTTACTGAAACGAACATGCAAGCATTTAAGAACAAGTAGGCATCGTAACAAATTAGGCTTTCTCATCTGACTCCAATCTTATAGAAACATTTTATAACCACGTTATAAACTATTTGTAATATAAATACATTTCTAATTTTATTACATTAAATCGATCGAACAAGACGAAATTACAGTATCAAATGGGTATTTGTATGTATAAATTTGGTGCAAATCATGGGAATCAAAGACTTAAAATTCCCATACTGTAAAACTATGTATCAAGGTATATACTGTATTCTATGCCTACTGTCTCCATCGTTAAAAATTGGCCAGTAACTTTGTTTCATAATAATGACCCAATATACGTAGACGAAAGCTCATTTCGTTACGTTTATGCTATTTTTCTTTCACGGATGTTCTAATGAATAATGGCGAGATTTTTTCCAGAGGCTTCTGAAAAACCCTTTGCGTTGCTTCTGTCCTGGATGCTCCTCGCCTGTAAATGAAGAGATATATCAATATACTGTAATTTAAAATTAAATCCTCTATAAGTAATCATGTCTTACAAATCGAGTTTCTATAACTCTGCGACAATGCTATGGGTTAGATAGGTAATTAGACATATTTACTTTGCACAGCATGCATCAATTCTGGTAAGGATTTAATTGTTTATGGCACAAAGTTTCGAAATGTAACGTTCAATGTTACATACATCTTATGTAATTAAACGAATATATAGATAAAAGAAATGTCTATTTATCGATAAATTACTGAATGTATTTTTTTAAACATGTCCAGAGATCTCTAGAGAGCTCTTATCCCAATTATTTGGAGGCGGCGTAATATGTTTTAATTCACATTACACAAGTTTTTGGTTTTATTTCTGGCCGCCTGTCTGACGTTAACCTTCCTTGGGACACTTGTTGATTGTAACTGGCATTTTCAGTATAGATGAAAGAATATAGGAAAAAATGCGGAGAATTGGGAGCGAGCAAAGGAAATATTCTGTGTATGGATTAAAAATACATATATGATAATATACAGAGCATACATATGACACTGTTATGATATTACTTATGTGTACGAAGTAGAAATTATTGTAAATAGGAACTCTTTTTATTATTAAGTACATATTCCATAATTTAATTTCTACTAGTTGACTCGGTAAACGTTTTGCTCCCTACCGACGCTTACTGGGTTAATTTTTCTTATCGGACTAAACATTACACATTTACAAAACTTCATAAAAATGGGTTGATCGGTTTCGGAGATTAACGTGAATGAACATCGTGACATAGGATTTTTATATGTTAAAATTTATCGATGTGAATATGTATTTTATTTTTGACTCATGCGTTGATGTTTTTTCCGTGTCTAATTTGTATCAAAATTAACAATGTGAGGTTACCGTTATTTTGGTGCTGCACTATACCTACTGTGCTAGACGTTAACTTTGCGTCCGTTCTCTTGCACAGTCGCTGCTCAGCCAAACCTAATTAACTGCACATTTTTTACTAACTGCTCTGGATAGTCGTGAATTAACTTAAAATTCAAGAGACCGTAAAGAAATTATGTACACATTCAATAATTTAAACTACCTAATAATGCACATGAAAGATATTTGAAATAGATATTGCTGCTATTTTTCGTATTTTCAAGGTATTTTCTTCGATGAAGTAACAGTACGTCATTAGTAGGGCATCTAAGAATAAACGGGTAAGTTGGTATTTTCCAGCACACGTCCCAAATGCCATACGCGCTACCTAAAATAGTGTCGATGCCGCTTCTCTCGATATCTGACTCCACTAGCCGATATTTTAACATTTAATGTCAATATAGATTGATAACTACCTTTTTAACAAATTAACATCCCATTGCTGAATATAGGTCTCAGTAAACAGCTTATTATTATATCGAATTTTTCTTTAGACAAATATAGTACTTACGTACACTTGTGTAGCTCATGATTGCAAATGTCTTTTTGCAAATATTGCAAATACATACTTAATAGCATAGGTATATACTTTCGTATTAGTGATCTCTACACGGTCATGATTTATTTATAGCATACGCAGCAGTGGAGGTCCACCCGGATTCAAGTTCATTGGCTAGGCTCCCCGCAACGAGACAAGATTATAGGACTCCCATCTGTGTCATGTATCATGTTATCTATCGATAAGTATGAGTATTATATTTATGAACGATTACTATATTCTCGTAGTTATAAAACTTATTAATAATTATGCTTTGGCGCTCTGCCTATTAAAAATTAGAGCGTTGAGAAATTGGCTGAGAGTAGGTTGATACCTAGGCTGCGGAACAAATTTAAGATTTAGACTTTCACCATTCATTAGCTAGGTAGGTATGTAGTTATAGCTTTGTTAGCCTAGAATTTTGTCATAATGAATATAATACAAATAGAAGGTTCAGATTATGTTTTGGGTTAAAAGTTCCTTTAGAATTTTGAGAACAAACATTTTTAGTTAAACTAATTAGCATGCTTTTTAATTTTTATAAAATTGATTCAATAAGCTATTTTTTCTTCAACGAGTTAAATTGTAATTTATGTGGAGTTTATGCGGCTTAAGTTCTTATAAAAAGCTATAAGAATGTGTTTTATTTTTATGATTACATTGTTACATGTATAATTAATTTATAATAATGTAGTAACTATGGATCTAATCAGATGCGATGTTTTTACGAACATATAATGGTTTCGCATTATCAGGCAAACAATGGGTTCCGTTTGGCAACGGAAGTGTTATCCTATTTTGTTGGTACATTCACCCACATGATATGTTTATCATAAATTAATAACACTTCAATAACGTTCAGACTAAAAATAATAATGAATAAGCGATAGCTATAATGAATCACAGTCATGCCGAAAATTTCATATTCCATTTCCTTTGTAGGTGAATCAGAATGTTTCATTTTATAACCGATCGGTAAGGGTCGGTTGTATTCACGGTAACGACAATGACAATGGGAGTTTTAAATAATCGGGTCACGAAGATCGAGTCGGGAAGTGCGAAGGGATGATGTCGGATCCGAGCCGGGACAGCGTGCGGGGAGGTACGCTCGGTCCAGGGGTCGACGACACTACGGTGAAGGGCAGCGAGGTCGGTGCGTTCGCTTTCGTCGACAGGAGGCGCGTGGCGGGGCGGCGGCGGTGGCGGTGGCGGTGGCGGTGGCGGCGACGGCAGCCCAACGTATTGATCGCAGCCTCCGCGTTATCCCGTAGCCGCACAAGCTACGTCTATGTGTATAATCAACGTTCTAAATGTTTATTGATATTAACTAAGAAATGTGGCTTTGGCTTTGGCTGTACGATACGACAGTGTAGGTTCTGTACCTATACGAGTATGTCAAAAATTGTAAAAAAATACAAGTTCGGCGTACGTTAAAACAAAAAATATATGATTATAATCCTCAATGGAGTGGTAAAGGTATTTGTCGACTATTGTTGTTACGCACGAAAAAGTAGTTTATATTTTTTTTTATAAAACGTTTGTTGTAAGTAAGGTAATTTTTTTAATAATGACTGTGAAAGGAGATTAAGTATGCTGTCTGTGAAAATAAGTGTCTGTAAAAATTTAAACACCTTTAAAATATTTCAGATATCCAAATTACGCACCTTATTTCTTTGTTTATTTGCATGTGTTAAATATCTCAAATCACTGTCATTCTTTTCTAAATATCCTAAAGAATTGACATTCTAGTGTGTTGTAGAACGGATACGCCCTGTTTTACACTAAATGTAATGTCATCTAAATAACTATTCAGAATGTTTATTAATAATAAAGTTCATGGGAAGAGAAAATCGATTTTCAAGAGAGACAATGATTGCGATTCATATAAAAACTGGTATTAATCAAAGAAAATGAAATACGTTTATTCATCGAGATTAAACGACATCAGATTAGAGCCATTCAGCTTCTATAGGAACAATTTGGTTTAGAAAATATTAGCTATTTTATACGGTGTAAGAAAAATAGCGCTTAATTTTAGGTACATTTTATTTTAATTATTACATTAATTATTTTAACAAATTAAATTGGGCTTACATAAAACTGGATTTGCATAACCTTCGTCGTATCGTAATGTAATATAAGTTGAATAGCCGGCCACAGCAACCGCGGGCGTGGCCATCAGCCGTCGTCGGCGCCGGCTCCCGTGTCCGCAACATGATACATCTGTCTAGATAGCTAGCTCATCTATGCTGGTTTGTACGGCCGGTTCGTTTCTACCTATCGAATATTCACACCCACCCCTGGATTGTCTTCTTTTTATAATAGATTGTGCAGAAGTTTGTATTACATATATGTAGAAAAGTAAGTTGTATGTAGTAAACAAACTTTTATAGCACCCCGTGTGTTAATCGCCTAAATTTCTAATGAACTGGATGGACTACATTATTTAAAATTCATGAATTCGTAAGTCTTGAAAAGTTTACATGTATGGATTTTTATGACCTGATATCTATTATAAGATATATGTTAATTTATTTTAATGCTTTATCGGCTAAACCAATCGTCATAAAAATTGGCATACAGGTCTTTTTTAATGAAAGATAATGTAATGTAGCCCCGCCTGCGCTAACGGTATTTCCAGTGAGGAATGATAGGTGACAATGAAAAGGCAGGTCAGTTAGCTCATCGTGATGAATACACCTGGAATTCAGCACGATGATTTCCAGAGGGGACCACGTGAAGGTCGAGTTGCCAGGGTATTTTGCTAGGAATAGGACTGGTACTCCGTATAACAATCCTTTCCCCCTTTGTCACACAAGTAGAAAGTATTGTGTCCACATACACACAAAATAGTTTTTATCTCGGCCAATCAAGCCCTGTTTACACGGACAAAGTCGCGGTCACAGTAAGTTCATAAAAAATATATACAATTATGAGAGTTATATATAACAGCGACGGTATTAAAAATAACCGCGCCACTGTTGCGCTGGTCGTATCTATCAGGCGTCTTGTTACTGACTGCGAATGCGAAGTTGAGATAAATCATTGCGGTATCAATGCAATTTATTCCTCATAAATCTCCTAGGTTGTTGCACACCGATAAACGAGGCCGTAGCCTTTTATCAACACAATGTATTTTATTTTAAAAAACATATGTTACTTTCTTCGTAGTACCTATTATCTATTTATTTGTAAAAGGAAAACCAAGACTTATTCACATAAAAAATATTTACAAGATAACAACAATGAAGCCACTTATATGTTTTCACCAATAGACGTAATAGACAAAATTTTACAGTGGTTGCCTCAAATTAATAAGCCAAGGAGTATAGAATTATTTATCTCAGGCACCACACACATTATGTATGTAAATAATCTGTTAGTTTTTAAGCTTATTATATTAAGCTTATCAATTAATAATAAATGTTACAAGAATTATCAACGACGTACTATAACAGTAATATTGTTAACTAGCTTTATGCCTGTCACATCGTACGTGTGGATTTCAAACGTAGAAAAACCA